GAAAGTAAAGGGTGTGATAAAAGAGAAAAAGGTAGCTTACGAGAGGTTTTTACAAAGCAGAAGTGTTATAAGAAGAGCAGAGTATATGGAGAGTAAAAGAAAGGTGAAGAGAGTGGTGAGAGAGTGCAAAAGGAGAGCAGATGAAAGAGTGGGAGAGGCACTGTCAAGAAATTTTAATGAAAATAAAAAAAAAATTTGGAGTGAGTTAAACAAGTTAAGAAAGCCTAGGGAAAGTATGGATTTGTCAGTTAAAAAACAGAGTAGGGGAGTTAGTAGATGGGGAGAGGGAGGTATTAGGTAGATGGCGAGAATATTTTGAGGAACTTTTAAATGTTAAGGAAGAAAGGGAGGCGGTAATTTCATGCACTGGCCAGGGAGGTATACCATCTTTTAGGAGTGAAGAAGAGCAGAATGTAAGTGTGGTGGAGGTACGTGAGGCATTACGTAGAATGAAAGGGGGTAAAGCAGCTGGAACTGATGGGATCATGACAGAAATGTTAAAAGCAGGGGGGATATAGTGTTGGAGTGGTTGGTACTTTTGTTTAATAAATGTATGAAAGAGGGGAAGGTACCTAGGGATTGGCAGAGAGCATGTATAGTCCCTTTATATAAAGGGAAAGGGGACAAAAGAGATTGTAAAAATTATAGAGGAATAAGTTTACTGAGTATACCAGGAAAAGTATACGGTAGGGTTATAATTGAAAGAATTAGAGGTAAGACAGAATGTAGAATTGCGGACGAGCAAGGAGGCTTCAGAGTGGGTAGGGGATGTGTAGATCAAGTGTTTACATTGAAGCATATATGTGAACAGTATTTAGATAAAGGTAGGGAAGTTTTTATTGCATTTATGGATTTAGAAAAGGCATATGATAGAGTGGATAGAGGAGCAATATGGCAGATGTTGCAAGTATATGGAATAGGTGGTAAGTTACTAAATGCTGTAAAGAGCTTTTATGAGGATAGTGAGGCTCAGGTTAGGGTGTGTAGAAGAGAGGGAGAATACTTCCTGGTAAAAGTAGGTCTTAGACAGGGATGTGTAATGTCACCATGGTTGTTTAATATATTTATAGATGGGTTGTAAAAGAAGTAAATGCTAGGGTGTTCGGGAGAGGGGTGGGATTAAATTATGGGGAATCAAATTCAAAATGGGAATTGACACAGTTACTTTTTGCTGATGATACTGTGCTTATGGGAGATTCTAAAGAAAAATTACAAAGGTTAGTGGATGAGTTTTGGGAATGTGTGTAAAGGTAGAAAGTTGAAAGTGAACATAGAAAAGAGTAAGGTGATGAGGGTATCAAATGATTTAGATAAAGAAAAATTGGATATCAAATTGGGGAAGAGGAGTATGGAAGAAGTGAATGTTTTCAGATACTTGGGAGTTGACGTGTCGGCGGATGGATTTATGAAGGATGAGGTTAATCATAGAATTGATGAGGGAAAAAAGGTGAGTTGTGCGTTGATGTATATGTGGAGTCAAAAAACGTTATCAATGGAGGCAAAGAAGGGAATGTATGAAAGTATAGTAGTACCAACACTCTTATATGGATGTGAAGCTTGGGTGGTAAATGCAGCAGCGAGGAGACGGTTGGAGGCAGTGGAGATGTCCTGTCTAAGGGCAAATGTGTGGTGTAAATATTATGCAGAAAATTCGGAGTGTGGAAATTAGAGAAGGTGTGGAGTTAATAAAAGCATTAGTCAGAGGGCAGAAGAGGGTTGTTGAGGTGGTTTGGTCATTTAGAGAGAATGGATCAAAGTAGAATGACATGGAAAGCATATAAATCTATAGGGGAAGGAAAGAGGGGTAGGGGTCGTCCTCGAAGGGTTGGAAAGAGGGGGTAAAGGAGTTTTGTGGGTGAGGGGCTTGGACTTCCAGCAAGCGTGCATGAGCGTGTTAGATAGGAGTGAATGGAGACGAATGATACTTGGGACCTGACGATCTGTTGGAGTGTGAGCAGGGTAATATTTAGTGAAGGGATTCAGGAAACTGGTTATTTTCATATAGTCGGACTTGAGTCCTGGAAATGGAAGTACAATGCCTGCACTTTAAAGGAGGGGTTTTGGGATATTGGCAGTTTGGAGGATATGTTGTGTATCTCTATACGTATATGCTTCTAAACTGTTGCATTCTGAGCACCTCTGCAAAAGCAGTGATAATGTGTGAGTGTGGTGAAAGTGTTGAATGATGATGAAAGTATTTTCTTTTTGGGGATTTTCTTTCTTTTTTTTTTTTTGGGTCACCCTGCCTCGGTGGGAGACGGCCGACTTGTTGAAAAAAAAAAAAAAAAAAATATGACAGGGTGGATAGGGGGGCAATGTGGCAGATGTTGCAAGTGTATGGTTTAGGAGGTAGGTTACTGAAAGCAGTGAAGAGTTTTTACGAGGATAGTGAGGCTCAAGTTAGAGTATGTAGGAAAGAGGGAAATTTTTTCCCAGTAAAAGTAGGCCTTAGACAAGGATGTGTGATGTCACCGTGGTTGTTTAATATATTTATAGATGGGGTTGTAAGAGAAGTAAATGCGAGGGTCTTGGCAAGAGGCGTGGAGTTAAAAGATAAAGAATCACACACAAAGTGGGAGTTGTCACAGCTGCTCTTTGCTGATGACACTGTGCTCTTGGGAGATTCTGAAGAGAAGTTGCAGAGATTGGTGGATGAATTTGGTAGGGTGTGCAAAAAGAAGAAAATTAAAGGTGAATACAGGAAAGAGTAAGGTTATGAGGATAACAAAAAGATTAGGTGATGAAAGATTGAATATCAGATTGGAGGGGAGAGAGTATGGAGGAGGTGAATGTATTCAGATATTTGGGAGTGGACGTGTCAGCGGATGGGTCTATGAAAGATGAGGTGAATCATAGAATTGATGAGGGAAAGAGTGAGTGGTGCACTTAGGAGTCTGTGGAGACAAAGAACTTTGTCCTTGAGGCAAAGAGGGGAATGTATGAGAGTATAGTTTTTACCAACACTCTTATATGGGTGTGAAGCATGGGTGATGAATGTTGCAGCGAGGAGAAGGCTGGAGGCAGTGGAGATGTCGTGTCTGAGGGCAATGTGTGATGTGAATATAATGCAGAGAATTCGTAGTTTGGAAGTTAGGAGGAGGTGCGGGATTACCAAAACTGTTGTCCAGAGGGCTGAGGAAGGGTTGTTGAGGTGGTTTGGACATGTAGAGAGAATGGAGCGAAACAGAATGACTTCAGGAGTGTATCAGTCTGTAGTGGAAGGAATGGAGACAAATGGTTTTTAATACTTGATGTGCTGTTGGAGTGTGAGCAAAGTAACATTTATGAAGGGGTTCAGGGAAACCGGCAGGCCGGACTTGAGTCCTGGAGATGGGAAGTACAGTGCCTGCACTCTGAAGGAGGGGTGTTAATGTTGCAGTTTAAAAACTGTAGTGTAAAGCACCCTTCTGGCAAGACAGTGATGGAGTGAATGATGATGAAAGTTTTTCTTTTTCGGGCCACCCTGCCTTGGTGGGAATCGGCCAGTGTGATAATAAAAAAAAAAAAAAAAAAAAAGGAGAAGGGGTTACTAGCCCCTTGCTCCCGTCATTTTAGTCGCCTCTTACAACATGCATGGCTTACGGAGGAAGAATTCTGTTCCACTTCCCCATGGAGGTAAGAGGAAATAAACAAGAACAAGAACTAGAAAGAAAATAGAAGAAAACCCAGAGGGGTTTTGTATATATATTATATGCTTGTACATGTATGTGTAGTGTGACCTAAGTGTAAGTAGAAGTAGCAAGACGTACCTGAAATCCTGCATGTGTATGAGACAGAAAAAAAAGACACCAGAATCCTACCATCATGTAAAACAATTACAGGCTTCTGTCTTACACTCACTTGGCAGGACGGTAGTACCTCCCTGGGCGGTTGCTGTTTACCAACCTACTACCTAAACTCAGTAAACTTATTCCTCTATAATTTTTACAATCTCTTTTGTCCTCCTTCCCTTAATATACAGGAGCTATACACACACACTGCCAATCCCTAGGTACCTTCCCTTCTTTCATACATTTATTGAACAAAAATACCAACCACTCCCACACTACATTCCCCCTGCTTTAAACATTTCTGACATGATCCCATCAGCTCCAGCTGGTTTACCCCCTTTCATTCTATATAATAACTCGCGCACCTCCCCCACACTCAAGTCCTTGCAAAAACCCATACATACACACATCTGCATTTTATTTTCTTCTTACTTTTACTAACTGTAATATCGCAGCTCTTCCAGCTCTAAATCAATGTTGTAATGGATTATAGAGCTCATGGATTTGTAAGGAAGGTAATTTGCGTTCTTATAACCCTCTCAAATATTTTCATGTAGTGTAACTGCTACTGATCTGTAGTTTTATCTAACAAACTTCTGCATTCGTATGCAATTATCTTCACTTTCATTTGTTCTTTAAAAGGTACTTATTCCTATATTTCCTTTCCCATTCAAACTAAGCCTAGTCTAAAACTAGGCTGTGGGGGGGCAATATTTCCCAGAGCCACCAACAGAAAATGTACATCTGCTAATCCTGAAGATATCTTCCCTTCTTTAATATATGTATTAAATATATGAGCTAACTATTTGTAACCTATAACCCCCAACTGCCCTCAGCATGTCATGATCCCCTCCATCCCCATTCCATTACTCACTCCTAATCTGCAATTTGCCTCATCCACTTTGTGGACTCATCTCGTGTTCCTCTCTCCTCTAACAAATCCCAGTCCTCCCAGCCCTATGCATAAAAACTTTCTTTCATCATCCTTCTTTCCACTTTCTTTCTCTCGCACTATCATTCACATGCAGTACATGCAAAATAAGGGAGGTTTCGTGATGATCCTATTGACATCTTAACAAAATTATGTAGACAACTCTGATGAATTTTAAAAATGAATTTAGAAGTTGTATCATTATTATGGTGCAGTATTTACAAACAGTGGGAGATGGCCGACTTGTTAAAAAAAAAAAAAAAATTACAAACAGGACTATAAGAATGTGTCTTCTTCACCTTTATAGTTATGATTCTTTCTAAATTGAAGCTGTTGATGTCATTGATACTTGACACAGTAATCTTGGTACTAGTATCATCCATAATTTTTTTGATAGTAGTTCCTCCTTTCCCAATGATACGGCCAATGAGGTTGTTGTGAGCAAGAATCTTCAGGGGAACCTCTCTAAGAAGAAAAATAAATATAATTAAGCTTACATACATATACAAGAGTACTGTTTAATGATTAGCTACAGACATCTGCATGTTAGAATGCATGGAAAAATTCTTCCCATACTACCAAATTAAGACCTTAAAGCGCTTTACTAAAAAATTTACATGTAAACAAGGATCTTTATTTGCTTGTTGCACTGTCCTGCAACCCCTAATTAAAAAATCCCAAAGTACGTACTAATTTGAAATACTGTAATTTTTTTGTGATCTGAATTAGCAACAACTCAATGCTCTGAACAAAAAACTAAATTTTAAAAAAATTTTAATTACTGTACATGAAAATCCCCTTGACAAATACCATACAATAAATACAAGCATTCTGAATAGCAAATGCACTGGCATATTTAATATAACTTGGCAACTTTTTTTTTGATATCTATATGTATATTAAGAAAATCAACTCATGTTGAATTGTACTCATAACTAACATCTATGGTGTAGACAAATGTTGGCATGATATCCATTATTTGATAACGATAATTAAACAAATAAATCCATTTCCCCTTGTAATCTGTTTTGAGAGAAGCAGTTTTATAAAATGGAATTAGGCACAGTACTTTTAAAAGCATTAAATTGTTTAAGCTATGTTGTACATTCATCAGTTTAACATGCTAATATTTTTTTAAAGAAAAAGTATCAATAGATTTGAAGTGCCAAGGCATATTACACGTCCAATGTGTCAAGGTATGAAAACCTACTTTCTGGGGTGAGGTCATGAACCACTAATGGAATAAGAATTTAATGACAAACCTCTTATTATACCAGTAATGGACTCATCACTTTTTTGTCCAACCAAGTTACCATTTTCCATCACTCACTTTCACTTGTTACCCTTGCTGCCAGCAGAGCAGGTTCTAAGTGTATAGGTCTGTGTGGCCTGAGATGCAGCACCCAATAAGGGAAGGCAGTGAATGCCATGGTTCATGGATCCCACCACAGAAAATTTTTCACACATCAAAGAATTTTATCTTAAATTCAGGTTCCACGAGTCACTAAGGAAATCCTACCACCGCACCCAATTTTACAGCAGGAGCAGCTGTATACTGTAATGTAGGAAACTCAAAGATATTGTGGAACTCAAGACAGGAATTGTGACGGGCATTTTCTTGGAAATTGCTAAAATACTGCAGCGTACAGGATATTTCAAATCCTGGGCAAAACCCTGCATCCTGTGTGACATGTTACTGGTTCAAGGGTTCTTCTGCCCTTGCAACCTGGTGGAAGGACCTGACAAGTCCTGATCACTGAATGTGTGTACATTATCACAAAGCTCTGATTTAGAACATCAAGCAATCTTTAGTCAATCATACCAGTGGAGAAATCTTATGTCAGGATTTAAAGATCCAACTGATCTTGTCTAGTGACTTTCTAAATGGCCATTTATTCATACTGCTCTGGGCCATAACATACCATAAGTTTATTACTAGACCAGGACAGAATACTACTTTTCACGTGATTAAGGGCCCAGGTTGTGTATTTGAATGCCCAATTTTTTTCCGGCTGGTAACTCTCTAACCCAATTCAAGGAGTAAGGGTAGGGACTATTTTTGCTTAGTAATATACTGTAATATCTAATCTATGTAATAAGCGTATCCCAAAGTATGGGATGTTCATCTGAGGAAATGAGCTTGTTACAATACAATGAAACTTTTGCAAGATTAAATGTGATTATTAACTTGCCTTGCATGTCTTGTATGTTGTTCCAAAAAGGCAGCTTATTGTACTGGGGACATAATGATACCATATGGTTTTGAAAAAAGGTCATGTAACCTTAATTTTCATGCTCTCCATGACAAACTTCAGAGTCACAAGCTGCCAATGCCAGGGAATCCCCCCCCCCCACACACATACACACTACTAGCATCATAGGTACTAACACTGAGAGGATTTCCACCTTAATGAATGCATGCCAATATAATAAACCGATTGACCAAAGCTGAGAGGTTTTCTACTCAAAGAACCCAGCCTTGGGCCAGCCTCATCTGGTGCCTGCTTGGTCAATCAGGCTGTTGCTGCTGGCAGCCTGCAGGTCCATACATTCATCACAACCTGGTTGATCTGGCACCTGGTGAAGATACTTGTCTAGTTTCCTCTTGAAGCCTTCTACACTTGTCCCAGAAGTCTTTCTGATATCTTCTGGTAAGATGTTCCATAGTCTGGGAATGCAGATGTTGATACAATGTTCTCTTATTGTGTCCCTGCTGGAACTTATCACCAATGAGTATCATACTGCCCTCCACTATCCACTGGAAAACCCTGGTAACTATCTTCCTGCAGTTTTTCAGTGATTCCTACTGAAGTGATCTTCATGTTGATTTTAGTGTCATTTGCAAACCATGATACAAATCTGATGGGTGTTTATATTTATGTCTGCTATCATGATAAGAAACAGCAAAGGTGAGAGGATAGTGCCTTGGGGATCTGACCTCTATCTTGCTGAGGGTGGTTTTTGATCTCTACTGCTACTCTGTGTTCTATGGGTTAGAAACTTGAAGATCCACCTGCCAACCTTCCCCATTATGCCTTTGGCCTTCATTCTGTGTGCAATCACCCCATGATTGCATTTGCCAAATGCCTTTGCAGAAATCTGTGCACATCACATCTGAGGCAGGATTAATAGTTCCATCTTTACAGTATAAAATTTACAGGCCACAGCTTGGACAAGCATACTGTAATTATTTGCTTAGTATTCCCTTGATCTAGTATGGAACCTCCCATCCAACCCTGGAGGATAAACTTTAACCAACTGATGTCAAAAGAAACACAATGGCTAGCAGAATCACTGTAATATAAGTATTCTGGTCCTAAGTATCAAAAGTGGAACAGGACTTTATGGAAGTCAGCACTACTTCCAATGACCACTATGGGATACAGTATATTAATTTCTGCACTTGATAATATATAAAAACATTGCCTCAGTGTACCATTAGTCTAAAATCTCCATGTGTAGAGATTCAAAAAGTTCAGTTTGGAACACAAAAAATTCTATTTTGTTCCTGTACAGACAGCTCTGATTTTCTGGCAATGGCTTGGTGTGCATGACAACAGCTCACCCCTATAGGGTTATGATGGGAGGGAGAGAGGGGAGGAGGAAGGGAAGACAGTGCATGCAGAGCTATTTTCAGTATACTTTGCCTGCCCATGTACGTACTCTGGTTTACCGTAGTTTATTTACACAAATGCTTGTTCAATTTGGTGCCACTCATAGGAAACAGGTTCTTTGGGCCTGACTAATATGGGCTTTCTCCTTGGAACAAAGTGGGGTCTGTGTACCAGAATGCTCTCAACTTATAACTGACTGCTGGTAAATACAGTCATGCTCATGAAACAAGTCCTTATGTACTGTACCTCGATCTTATGAATACCCAGATAATGACTTGAAAACAAGAACAGATGAAACTACAGGGATTCTAGCTCTGTTTACACAATTCCATAAAATAATCATGTACAAGTGTTATGCAACTAAGGCTACTTCATCAAAGGACTACTGGCCAAAATATTAACATTCACAAATGAGAAAAAACTGAGAGGCAGTGTAAAGCAGGTAAAAATATTTGGCAAGAGCAGATGATTATGCCTACTGTATCACTGCATGTAGTGGCTGACAATCCTTCATCCTCCACTAAGCACAATATTATCAACCCCTCAAACATAGATCACAATAAATGATGTACAGACAAGATTGGTGAATTTCAAAGTATCACCTGGTGATTATGAACTGCTGATACACGTAAAAATGAGTTCCTAAAATAAATCTCAAGGAATTCCACACCAATAGATTTTATTAAACAAATACATAATGCTTCACACTTCAACTATGTGAAGACATTCTCAAGGAATTGTTTGGAAAGCCAAATTAACCCTTTCAGGGTCCGTCCCGTAGATCTACGGCTTTACGTTCAGGGTCCAAACCGTAGATCTACGCCATGAGCTCAGCTCACTCTGATAAACTGTGAGTGGTACATTTGGGCCTAGATATGAGAGAATACATCTATGTGGTATGTGTGCACCACATAAAACAGATCCTGCAGCACACTGTGTATAATGAGAGAAAAAAAATGAAATCATGATTTTTCGATTAAAACAGCAACTTTGCAGTGTTTTTTCGTATGTTTTTTATAGTTGTATTTGCGATTTCTTGGTCTCATTTGATAGAATGGAAGACATATTACAGAAATAGAGACGATTTTGATTGGTTTTAGCACTGGAAATGGCTTGAAACTGAGCTCAAAGTAGCATAAATGTTAAATTTTTGCCGATATTCAAGAGTAAACAAACGACCTCACACGTCTAATACACGTCAGCTGGTGGGTCTAATATACATTCACAAATATGGTGATGATATTTATACAATTATTACAGTATTGCATAACAGTAAATCTTCTATTTTTTGGTGTGAATAAAAATTCATTATGTGAATAAAAAATCAAAATGGAATTTATTTGTAAAGCCTCAAAACATAACTAATGAACAGAGGAAATGTTAGTTTAGTGCCAGGAATGCCTACATTGTTCATTCTGGACCCTATTTTGAAATTGGAATATTTTGAACTTTGTGTTAAATTGGCCAAATTAACAATTTCCGATCACTTTATTTTGTAGTTGAAACAGTTGACTTGGCGATTTCTTGTGCTCAATCGATAGAATAGAAGTAATACTAGTGAAATAGCTAAGAATTTGGTTGATTGGAATAATGTAATTGGCCTAAAATGGGAGTCAAAGTCGGCAAAATCGCCGATTCGTAAATATCGCTGACACATCAAAATTCGCGAGAGCATAATTTCGTCAATTTTCCACCAAATTTCGTACTTTTTGTTTTATTACCTTCACAAAAAGATTCTCTACGATTTCATAAGAAAAAATAACAAATTTTTTTTTTGAAAATTCTTGGACACTGGTGCGTGACTCCAGATTTGGGCCTTGGACCCTGAAAGGGTTAAAACAAAATGAACAAATATACAGTGTAAGCATAACAAAACCCAAATGTTGCTCCCTTAACAGTGATACTCTACCTAATGATCCTAATATGAACACTGATTATTAAAGATTTAATTCATGCACAAATTATTCATATGCTTTTTAAGTGATTCTTATGTGAAAATGAAAAATCTGCTTTCAGCAATATTCAAATATTACAAAGTAATTTTTTTAAACCACTAGATGAACACTTGAAAATCTGTTCCTTACCAGCCGCTCTGGATCAAGGGTCCATGCACCCCAATGGGGTACATGAAACTTCATCAAGGGGCACAGGAGGTACACAGAGGCAGCAAAATGCGTATTGGGCATATAAAGACTGACATATGAAATATGTATATCACAAGTAACCTGCATTTGGTAATGAAACCCCCTGCTGTTGTATCTTGTCCTTTTGAAAAAGCAGTAAATGGGTCAGCAGTGAGAGGGGGATGATATGTAATGCCTCACAGATCAAGGTGTATGCCAATTGTAAAGGTTCAGTAGTAAGAATGAGCTTTTCAATTCTGGCAAATGTTAACCCTAGACTTTACTGTGTTCTATTGTAAGACTGTACTGTTCTTATTACTAGTCATGCAAAGTATTCTATCACAAAATCAAAACTAATCAGAAACAGATTTTTGGCAACTCCCCTTTCTTGCTGGGGTGGCCTGATGTCTTCAAAACATTTCAGCAACTATCAGATCTTCATGTCTCTTGAAGGAACTATATTCTCTTAATTCTACATGATTGTTTCGAGTGAAGAAGTTGACATTTCCTTGAATTGAGAAAATGTATGATAAAAGGATGGTTACCTCCGGAAGCATTTTTTAATGAAAAAATTAACTAGGAAGCCACACAAGTCATATATGAAGAGAAGAAAAGGGGGGAAAATAGCATTCATGGAAAAGACAATTAAAAGCTAAGAAATTGTGACAGACCAAGTGGTGATTTTGTGTGAATGCAGGTAATGGCTCCATCAATGGGATTAAGAATATTTTCCCCTAGATTTAAACATAAGTGCTTCCATTGGCAACTGAGGCTACAGAATAAATTATTCTACCCCTGATTAGTTATAAACATATGAATAAATTATTTAAAATTAGCACAAAGAAAATCCCTCACCCCTTGCTTGTGTTTTCAGCCTCCTCTTGCAGGTCTTCCAAAATCCTGCAATCGACAGTAGTAGTATAATTTTTAAAGCACTGCATATAATATAGCTTATCCTATGTTGCTTTAGTTTATGCTAGTGTCACTTATCTTCTCTACTACTTGTAGTAAAATATTAAACTAGAAAAGTAATAACAATGAAAGTGGCAAACAATCACTCCTTACAGTTTCTTCAGTGTAACTAGTAAAGGACTGCACATTGCATTGGAGTAACAACAAATTAGCTTACCCCTTATTGGTGTTATCTGCTTCCTCTTGCATAACCTCTAATATTCGTTTGCAAGCATTAGTGCAATTCTCAGGATTGCCATAAATAGTAATGGCTTTCTCCAAAGATCCAGCATTATCCTTTCTGTGAACATCTACTCTGGCACGGGTCTGTTAAAAATACAATTCTCTAGTACCTTTTACTTCAAGTTTAACCAAGATGATCATCACATACTTTATAAAAAGCTTTTTTTTTTTTTTTTTTTTTTTTGCTTCATTTAATTTTCCTATTCCAAAAGCATAAAAATAATGCCATTTATGAAATATGGCACTGTTTATAGATGATTGTATTATATCAAATACCAGTACTTTGTTTTAGTAATTTACTCAGACAGATTCACTTCTTCAGGAAGTTCATCTTTAATTGCCGCCGAGAACAAGAACATATATTTTGAATAAAGGGAACAAGAGGTTATTACTTATTTAATTACTGTACTACAATTTTTTTCTAATCAACAGTAAAATTATAAATTTATGTAATACAGTGGACCCTCGGCTAATGATATTAATCCGTTCCTGAGAGCTCATCGTTAGACGAAATTATCGTTAGCCAAATTAATTTTCCCCGTAAGAAATAATGGAAATCCAATTAATCCGTTCCAGACAGCCAAAAGTATTAAAAAAAATAATTTTTTTTCATGAAATATACATTTCCCTACAATGAAAACAATGAGACATGCACAAAAACTATATAAACAAATGTTAAAATGACACTTACCTTTATTGAAGAGTACTGATGAGTGATGAGACACTGTTTTTTTGAACACTCTGGGATTTTCAGAGTGATACATGAGTAAAGGCTTCACTTTGCAATCCCCACTAGCATTACAACAAAACAAGAAAGTTAGCCTGTCTTTCACAGGCTTGTTCTGGGAGTGCCTTTTCCTCCTGAGTAATTTAGGTCCTGTTTGGCATTTTCTTCCAGAACAGGCCTGTTTCGTCACAACTGAACACTTGTTGGAGTTGGAATTTTTCAGCTTCGCCATGCCTTATCACACTGTGCATGCCACTACGACTCTTAAATCTCTCAAACCAACCTTTGCTGGCCTTAAATTCACCGATATGAGCACTAGTTCCAGGCATTTTTTCCTGTTCACCTGGGTGTTAGTCGCATCTTGGGGGACAAGACTAAGGACCCCCAATGGAAATAAGTTAGACAGTCCTCGATGACTAACTGACTTTCTTGGGTTATCCTGGGTGGCTAACCCTCTGGGGTTAATCGTTTCTCGGTATTCTCGACAAGCCACACCAACAACAGTCTCTTCACATCTTCGAGTAGTACAGCTGACGGTGGTGCAGCAGCAGCTGACCGTGGTACGATAGTATTTCGACAGTATTTCTCACCCTTTTTACCACAGGGTTGGCACTAGAAGCTTTCTTTGGGCCCATGGTGGCTTATTTAGCAGTTACAAGCACTATAAACAATGGAATAATACAAAATGTATCGAATGTATGCATGAAATCGGCCACCCTGGCTTGTAAACAATGATGGCAGGGCAGCTGAGGAGCTCAGGCTGGACAGACAGGTTCGGGACGAATCACGTTGGGTGAGTTTTTTATCACTAGCCAGGAGAAAATTTTTATGCTCAAACGCTTCGTTGGGCAGATTTAACATTATGCGATGCGTACGTTAGCCAAGGGTCCACTGTACAGGTACAATACCGATTTACAGCCAACGGATCATCTAGCACTTCTATTAATCCAGACAAAAAGACAGTATTACAAGACTACTTTTTTGCTTAAATAGTTTACCTGTCGGCCACAGACGGTGTTTTGCAGTGCATGCTTACTTATACTGTTTACACTGCTATTGTTGGTGGTGATCCCGTGATTCTGTGCGATTCTTAGCATATTTTGCTAACAATTAAACCCTAGCTATGGCTAGTGATTAGCTCTGCAGCTCCAGTAAAATTCTAAAATTTACCACTTTGGGAGTGGTAGTACTGCAAAATTCTTTATGAGTAATAAATAAACCTGTTTCATTTATGCTGAAGTTTAATTTAAGTTTCCAGCAGACCATGATAGGTCAGAGGTATATTGTTGAATTACTATTATGTGACCTCTGTTGGTCTGGCAAAATCGATATACATATTGTAAAAGCCTAGAAACCAAGGTTGCTGGAAAATCGGTGTTCCACCTGTACCTCGAAATATGTATCATTAAGACCATACTGGTACAAAATATTAATGTTCAGAATCATCACTAAGTACACAAAAAGCCATATACCTGCTGTGTGATTGTCCGGATAGTGGACCCTTGACGACCAATAATAGCTCCTACCATCTCACTCAGAACTAGGATACGAAGAGGAAAGTCTGTTTGTCGTTGAGATGGAGAAGTAGTTCCAGGGCCTCCCATGCGTCCTCCACTCATTGGTCCACCACCCATGGCACCTCTTGGTCCACGCCTCCGGTCCATTAAACGATCCACACGAAGAATACCGCCTTCTAAGTTGTAACCATTGAGTCGCTGGGCTGCCTCCCTTGCTGCATCCATGGTTTCATACGTTACATGCACCACCTAAAATCAAATTCTGAGATAATAGTATGCAGTTTTCAAGACCTCATAATTAAGACTAATGAGTAAACAAATGAGTAGACAAAAATTTTTTAAATATATTTATTAAATTTTTTTTGTAGTATGTGTATCTGTTTACACACACCAACACGAGAAATTAACCTTATGTAGGTCCTGTGTACATCATCAAAGATGGGAAGTAAGAAGTGCAAATGAGTGTATAAGAGTGTACAGCACATGGGAGACAATAGAAAATTTTATGGTCTAAATTAATGTTATCTTCCAATTAATACTAAGCTATCTAGCTATTGCAAATTCTGTCTATGTCAGAATGATAGAGAATGAAGACACTCTCCCAACCCTCCAGCCATACTGCCAGCATAAAAAAAATTGCGTGAAGAGAATTTACTAAATTTAAAATTTTTCATAAAGGTTAAACAGAAAAAATGGGCTTAGATTACCTGAATAAGTGAACCAATAACACAAATAACACACTCGAGGAAAAAAAGGCAGAATCAGTCAGTGTTACCTCTCAGTAAATTGAGGAGGAAACAGATAAAATTTTAACACCATGAAATTTCAAACTACTTCTGATAATACCAGTGTGAGCAAACAAGAGCACTAGGGTGATTATGCCACCACACTACTGGCATTATAGACCAAGGGCAATCAATGCAGAATTATCATCCTTCTTTCCACTCATCAAATATTAACCTGTAAACAGTCCAAACGTATATAAACATTTTTTCAACATTTGAAAGTACATAAAAAAAATAATTTTTTTTTTACATTTGAAAACACGTAAAAAAAACTTTGATCTACTTTTATTTTTTTTTTGTTATATTTGAAAAAGTGTAAAAAAAACGTAGATCTACTTTCGGAGCACTACGCATATGAACGTAGATCTGCTTGGACCGTTTACAGGTTAAGAAGAGCACAACTCCATTGTACCTTTGAGTGCTATTACTGTATTGTGAACTAACCCCACTAGTGATGCTTTAGTCAAAATCCTTAATAACTCATTCCAAACAAATAAAATTGTAATTTAGCTGCCCACAGGTGTTCAGGTCATCTACTATTCTCACTCTCACTAGTGCTGCTTACGTTTGCTTACCAGCAGTAATGGCAATATCACATTGTTTTTGATCAATATTTACATCAATTTTAAAATTTAACAGCAGCATGGCTACTGAAGATCATAATACATACTCTATTTACCGAGAATGTTTAAGGAAATGATAAAACTCAATAACGTTGTAAAAGGTCTTAAGCATTAAGCCCAGATGGCAATAATCCTCCTGGTGCCTTTTTGTTTTACAAGAACAAACTATGTACTGAAAAGGAAGAAATGAAAAATTTGCAATAAATTTTGCAGATAATAAAATGCAACAAAGGAAAAGTCTTTTTGAAAGAGAATGTTAAAGATTTCCATATGTGTAAACATTTACAGGACTTGTTAACAAAGATGATGTTTTGTAAGAATGCTTTTAAAGATATGCAGTAAAGCTGTCCCTACTTCTGGGCAAATCTGGATCAAGAACAGGTACTTTCATAAAGACAGGAGGATAAAAAAAAAAAAAAAAAAAAAAAAAAAATCATGAATATTCCCAGGAATATTTGTACAGTATATATGTATGTGTAACTAGAGTACAATGGGTCTTGGTAATCATCACCCCATCAACCTAGCCTCCTAAATTAGAAATTAACTCTTATAGGAATAATTACTATTATACACACATTCATATTAAACCTAGACCATGTATTCCAACTACTACAATGGTACCACGAGTGTTGAGCTGCTCCCAATTTGACCAATTATGTAAGTGCTTTTGTAAGTGTATTTCTGGGGGTCTGAAATGGACTGTCTAATTTACATTATTCCTTATGGGAAAAAATTCATTCGGTAACGGCACGCGAACAGCCTTCTGGAACGAGGAAAGTTCGAAACTCGGGGTACCACTGCATTTTATACCATAAATATGGATGATCAAAGCTACTACTGAGTAATTAGTACTTTACTCGTGTTTTAAATAATGTTGTACACCACATGAATATTGCAGACAAGGGCTAGTGATTTTTTCTGATTAATTTCTTTTGTATCCATGGAAATTTTGAGCAGAAAAATTATTATATACAGCAGATCATAGCTTGCATTTTCAATATTCTGTGATTTAAAATCAGATTTCCATTTTGAATAAAAATGTGCCATTTCCACTGATGGTGCGTACTTCCATTACTGACATTCTTCAACAGAACATTTGAGGCAGTAGACAGTGATAAAGAATATGATACTGTTTATTTGGATTTTAGTAAAGCCTTCGATAGAGTACCTCACAAGAGACACTTAAGAAAAGTGGCAGCTCATGGAATAGGAGGTAAAGTTCTAGCATGGATAGAGGCATGGCTTACCAACAGAAAGCAGAGGGTTTCCATAATCCCTTGTAATGACTGCAACAAATTATACGTGGGTGAAACATCAAGGGACCCCCAAACACGTATTTCAGAACACCAATACGCAAGCAGGTCTGACGGCACAAGGAATGCCTGTGTACAACACCATAATTCACACAACCACTTGATAAACTACAGAAACTCAAGACTTATCGCCACAGAAGACAACACTCAATACCGAAGAATCCTGGAATCATCACTTATTTCTATATCCGACAACTTCAACCAGAATAGTGGCTTCTATAACATAGCTGAACCACTTGCCAAGAAACTTCTTCATCGCTATCCCACATAAGAACACAGGAATGGAAGAACACTGTAGAAGGTCTGCTCACAAACTTATCCAATCTCCTTTCCAAGCTACCCAAGATTTTAGACTCTATAACCCCACTCGGTACATCATCAGATGCAGCATTCTCCACCTGACCTCAGCATTCTGAACCTGACTATAAATACTCGCGTCCCTTCCACCCCAGGTAGATCTGTTTGTGACTTGAAAAAGCCCACTGTGTGGGCAAAACGTAGTCAATAAAGGATCACATTATACTGCATATGTGTTTATATTTCCAGGTCCTCTCTTGTTCATAATTTAGACTAATGACCTTGATGAAGGGATTATGAGTGACATGAGCAAATTTGCTGATGATACAAAGATAGGCCATATTATTCATTCTGAGGAGGATAGCAATGAACTCCAGGAGGATTTGAACAAATTTATGTCTTGGTCTGAAAAATGGCAGATGAAGTTCAATGTGGATTAAGTGTAAGGTACTAGTCCATGGTAATAGAGATAACCCTCGATGCTATAAATTAGGTGATGTAGAGCTTGATCATACAGAATGTGAAAAAGACTTGGGAGTCATAGTAAGCAGAAATCTAAAGCCAAGACAGCAGTGCCTAAGTGTGCGCAACAAGGCTAACAGATTACTTGGATTTATCTCAAGAAGTATGAGTAACAGAAGTCCAAAAGTTATTTTACAGCTCTATACATCACTAGTGAGGCCTCATTTAGATTATACTGCTCAGTTTTGGTCTCCTTACTACAGGATGGATATAGACTCATTGGAGAAGATACAGAGAAGAATGACTAAAATGATTTACTGTGCAAGGAATCTCCCATATGAATATAGACTTAAAGCCTTAAATCTCCACTCTCTGGAGAGATGTAGAATGAGGGGAGATATCACTGAAGTGTATGAGTGGATGACAGGCATAAACAAAGGAGATATTAATAAAATGCTGAGGTGTCGAACCAGGTAAGAACCAGAAATAATGGATTTAAGTTGGATAAATTTAGATTTAGAAAGGACATAGGTAAGTACTGGTTTTCTAACATATTTGTGGATGTGTGGAACAATCTTCCCAGTAGGGTGATCGAGGCTAGGACTTTGGGCAGCTTTAAAGAGAGATTGAGACAGATATACGAGTGGGAGGGGCTGGGTATCAGAATAAATTCTTGGGTAGCTTTTAGTAGAGGTCATTTTGATAAGGACCTGCCTTATATGAGCCAGTAGACCTTCTGCAGGGTTCCTCCATTCTTATGTTCTTATAAATTATGAATGTCAACTGTAATTATTATAACATATATTAATATATTTTATTGTCATCATAAAATGACTTGGAGAGTATAAATCTGTAGTGGAAAGCAGGTGGGGTAGGGGTTGGCCTAGGAATGGTTGGATGGAGGGGGTATAGGAGGTTTTGTGTGTGAGGAGCTTGGACTTCCACAAAGCATGCATGAATATGTTAGACAGGAGCGGAGACAAGTGATTTTTAGGACTTGATGTGCTGTTGGAGTGTGAGCAACGTATCATTTATGAAGGGATTCAGAGAAACCTGCAGGTCGGATTTCAGTCCTGGAGGTAGAAAGTACAGTGCCAGCACTCTGAAGGAGGGGTGTTAAGACAGTGATGGAGTGAATGATGAAAGTTTTTCTTTTTTTGGGCCACCCTGCCTTGGTGAGAAACGACCAATGTGTTAATAAAAAATAAAAAAAATTTTCAAGTACTGGTTCACCAAGCCCTGCTTAGAATATTGACATCAATCTTTGAAAGCAATGAAATGTTAACATGGAAAACTCTTAGCCCCATGACCAAATTACCAAGGATGTAATGCATCAAATGTTTTAAATATAAAAATATACTGTGGGGATTAATAGTCCCCTTTCATCTTTGTGCTTGTTTTGTTTTCAACTCTGCCTATAGCCATAAAGACAATTTCTTGAAAAATTATGGAGAAATTAGATTCACCATTGGTACTGTAAATACCGGTACTGTAAGTACTAAAAATTGTCTTCTGCTAACTCATGCTAAACAAGTTCACACTAAAATACTCAGGCCAGCAAGGCACACTAATTTAGCTAAACCTCAATAATTAATGGAGTGGCATATTTAATCCCATTTTATTTTTTTTAGTGACCACTGTTAAAACATAAAATGGGATTAATATGCCCCATACCCAATACAGCCAGTCCCAGAGGAATGTTTTGCAATTATAGAAATGCCTTTCTATTTTGCTTGTGTACATTTGTTTAAATGAACCCATTACAATATTTGTGGAGACACTTGTCCAATTTCCTCTTCCCAGTAGTCTTTTGATATCCTCTGGTAAAATGCTGAACAGTCTAAGACCATAGATGTTGATACAATGTTTTCTTATTGTCCCTATGGCACCCTTGTTATTCAATGGGTTTATTTTAGTTTCAACTGGCTTGGAGTCTACCTGGAGATTGTTATGAGGGTCAATGCCTACGTGACCCAGTCCTAGACCAGGCCCTCCTGGTGGATCAGGGCCTATCAACCAGGTTGTTACAAGTAGTATTTTGGGATCATTTATATTTCAGTGAAGGCATTTGGTTATGTTCTCTCCCTTCTCCCTCCCCCCTCTCTTATTCATTCCCTCAACTCTCTCCCACCCTCTCCCTTTCCATGGTATTATATTGCTGGGCTCATTCACTGGACACTTGAAGGATATTTCCAGGGGTCAATGCCCCTGTGGTATGGTCTCAGACCAGGCCTCCTGGTGGATCAATACCTATCAACCAGGCTGCACTAGTCTATGCATATTGCACTACCAAATAAGGGAAAGGATATTTTCCTTTCTAGTTGATTCTACTGTTTTCTGATTTAGAGAGTTAGATTTAAAAATAGTGTTCTTTCAAACTATTTCCTGAAAATTTCTTCCATTCATGTTTTCGAAATTCTAATAGTTTAAATCTGAATGACTGGGAATTTTCACTGATGGTTTACTTTAAAGAATTCTGACTGCATCATTTGTAGATGAAAGGACAGGATATAAGTGCATATACTCATTGAGAGTGACCAAGGTACCATGGCCGAAACGTAAGCAGTGATGTCCTAAATATAGGCACTTAACGTCCTTTCATTCTTATTGTTGGTAATAATATACCTTCTACCTACAGTGTTAATTAAATAGCTATGTGCAGAATGGTTTATGTATAGACCAATCACACTGACTATAAAATTGTCCCATCTGTGATTTATAGTCTCTAATTACTGAATGTGTAAAAATATGTATTCAATGAATATAGTTGCAGTATTTGTGCTTAATTTTGTTTGTCTGCTCCAGCCCTTGTTGCCTGGTGTTGAAAAATACCGTAATATTTTTTTTAATAATCTTGAAAACAGTAGTATCGAAAACTTAAAAGTACACTGTACAATATATATATATTACACACACACACACACACACACACACACACACACACACACACACACACACACACACACACACACACACACACACACATTAAATAAGACTTGGCAACAACTGTTGTTTAATTAATTATATCACTGCTCATTTGATAAAGGCAATCTAATAATTAGGAACTTTCAAAGTTTGAATTTATATCCACCTCAAATTAAAATTTTCTAATCGTATTAATGCTGGAGATACTATATATTTAATAAAAATGTTCTGGAAGAAAGAATAAATGTTATACTCAATGCTGTCTTCAATAGTGGCAAGCCATCTTTCAAATATGTTGGCTTTCATTCACGTCATGGAAGACGACCCATGGGAGGGAAGGGGCAGGAAATGCAGACGTCTTTGTAACTTACTAAATCACATCCTGTAGGCCATCTAGGTCGCCGGCGTTTGTTCTGTGATGGCTGGTGGTGGAAGCTATAGTGGTTAGCAGGCATCGTGTAGCCTCTCTGTGATGGGTGGTTGTGGTCGGAAATATGGTTGGGAGTAGGCATGATGGGAGCCCCTGAGATACACCGTCATCACTTAGCATTAACCTCACTTGGTCACTGACTTGCCTCGCTGCCCTATATACCTATATTAACCCAAAATCACTTAACCCACATAATAAATAACTACTGTTTCCAAGGACTAATTTATCAATGAAAATATTCAGTTTATTTTAGTTTACAAAGTACCTGCATAACTCTTAGATTTATACAAATTAATAGAAAATTATCCAACCTGTCATCTTCCCGGCTGTCGTAAATTTTGGTCTTATTGTGTTCTTTGAAAAGGTCAGCTGACATAATTACTTCTAAGTCTTTTATGTGTTCCTTTTATTTGACGATCATCTTGAGTTTTGTATACGGTTTCCTTTTCGAATTTTTCATTTTTTCCATACCTAAGCAGTTGGATATTTTCACCAATGAACGCCATGTTGTTCTCCACTGCCCAATGGAAAACATTGCTTATATCTTCTGGCAATTTTTCAGTGTATTCTACCGAGGTAACTTTCATACTTATTATAGTGTCATCTCATCTGCAAATGATGACACAAAACTGTGACGGGCGTTTTAAAGTTTGCAGAGGTGCCAGGACAGTGCCTTAAGGCACTGAGAGTTTTACCTATGATGTTGCAATGTCTGACAGACGTGATAAATGGTTTTGAAAACTGACAAGTTGAAGATTGAGACACTTAAGTGTCTCAATCTTCAACTTGGGGGTTTTCAAAACCATTTATCACATATGTCAGACATTGTAACATTATGGGATCTTGATACACAAAATTCTTCAACACTTGTCCAACCTTAGGACGAAGACTTACTTACACTAGTGGATGGTTCCACTGTGATCCCGCCTCATCTTGCTTTTACTCACCCGACTACAGTATATAAGCCACTTCTCTGGCCCTATGCTGTACTTTCTACAAAAGTGATGTACAGAACACATCGATTCCAGGCTGAGGGACTGATTACCTCAAACTCTTCAATTCCTTACACCTTTATGCTTTGTACTGGACTGATGAAGCCACCTTGTAATGAAACGTTTCTTCAATAAAGATTCCCATATGGTGCATAAGTGTTGCAATCTTCAGTTTTACCTAGATGATGCTGGATTTTGCTCTATTTACTGCTACAATTTGCGTTGTTATAGAAACCCGAAAATCCATCTGCCTACCTTCCCCATTAATGTCTATGGTCTTCAATTTGTGGGTAATCGCTCCATAATTGCATTTGTCAAAAGTCACTGCAAAATGTGCCTATCACATCTGCGTTTTGGTTTTCATCCAACGCCTCATTAATTATGTCACAGTGGTTTTGTAGTTGTGACAGGCATGATCTTCCAATTCTAAAATTGTGCTGGTTTGGGGTGTGCAGGTGTGCTGTTCCATAAAGTTTGTAATTTGACATCTCATCACTCTTTCGAAGACTTATGTGGGAAGTTAGGGCTACTGGTCTGCATTTTTTTGGCTAGCGCTCTACTACCTCCTTGATGCACTCTTGAATTAAGGGCTATGGTATTTCACACAAATCATAGCCACACTCACCTGAAGGCCCCAAAGACCTGAGGCACACTTACCCAAGGACCCAACACCCGAGGGTCACAGGTCCCCGCGCACATGAAAGCCACACACCTGAGGGTCACACAAGGACTTCAACCACCTATAAGCCACACCCGATGGTCACACACACCTGAAGGTCGCATACCTGAGAGCTACACACCTAAGGGCCACATGTGAAGAGGCACACTTACCTGTGTATGACCGTCCCTGGAGGCATACTTCTCACACTTCTCGACGTCGCCCACACTGCGGAGGACGCGCTCCAGCTCCTCCTGGCGTGCGTGTACTGGCACTCCGCTCACTCGCACTCGCGTCTCCAGCCTGGACACACAAAGTTTCTCATAATATACACTCACAAGAATGCATTAACATTATACGTGTTGTTCACCATTATAATAATATTGTTTCCCACGTGTATGCATGCGCGCACATGGGTTATGAAACGAAATATTATTGACAAGTATGAAGCCAAAGACAAGTTCCAAGGCAAGGTTTTTACTGGGACATTTCAATCTTCGTAGAGCTTTATCAAATCATACATAAGTTACAGTTAACACACACACACACACACACACCGAAGGACAGTAGAGATAGGGGAGATATGATAACGACATATAAAATACTGAGAGGAATTCACAAGGTGGACAGAGACAGGATGTTCCAGAGATGGGACACAGCAACAAGGGGTCAGATGAATCACAGGGACGTTACGAAGTATTTCTTCAGTCACAGAGTTGTCAGGAAGTGGAATAGTCTGGGAAGAGATATAGTGGAGGCAGGAGCCATACATAGCTTTAAGAAGAGGTACGATAAAGCTCATGGAGCAGGAAGTGACTCATTAGCGACCAGTAAGGAGGCGGGGCCAGGAGCTATGAATCGACCCCTGCAACCACAACTAGGCGAGTACACTGTAAGAAGGTAAGGTGGCAGTGAGTCGAGGCGAATTTCTCTTGTCGATAGTGATCGACTGATCTGAAATCATTAAAATGTGAAAATCATACGTTAGGTCCTTGAGGATCCAACACTAGGTTTGGAATGTCTCCTAATCACGGGTCTGTAACTGCCTAAGTAAAGTGTGTAATAGACATCTGACTAAAGGCACCTTGGTTTTTTAGTTCAATGGTGTTTTGTGTAGTGATGGCCACTACACTCGAGCATTTCTTAAAATGTTGCAGAATACAGGAAAATAGAATAAATGCCACTAACACATACAGTATGAACAATATAAATGTTAATAATATACAAGATTTAAAGGAAATGTATAATGAAAATCCGTAGATACTGAAACAACCGAGGACTAAGATAATATTCCCAATGTCGTGTCAAACATTTGGGCGGAAATGTAGTCTTCATGGCGGTACGTTCATTCGCATGATAAATAACGCTGCCCAATGTACTCTTAATCCACCCTATACTTGTGGAGAAAGACATTTATAAGCAGTTCAGGGCATTTATTAGAGGAAACGTTTCGCCACTAGTGGCTTCTGTCCTAATACTCGTTTACCCATACTTCACAACAAAAACAATCCTGTCATTACACAGTACTGCACCACTACTGCCAAAATCATTTACACGCTCTTTATGTTCTCATTTCTCACAGATATAAGCTTACATGAAATCATAGTAACTGCAATTCCAGGGCAGCGTGGGTTTAGAGCAGATCACTCCTGCCTTTGACAATTGCTAAACTATGCGACATGATCTTGAATGCTCTGGAAAACAAGCTAGATACTGATACAGTGTTTATTAATTCTGTGAACTGTGAGCTGATGAAGATTTATTTTTTATCAAATGTAACTCAAAGTAGTAGTAGTAGTTAGTAGTAATAGTTATAGTAGAAATAGTGGCAGTAAACAGAGAATTTTGAGGCTGCCACAGTGCAAAGCTCTGGTACTCAAGGCACAATATTCTCCTCATTTTCATTTCCTCATTCTCATATGCGACAAACATGCCTTAAATCACAAACTGTAAAATCCTTTACAGATGACACCAGAATCTGAGACTGGCGTTCGCCGAAGGCACCGCAAATTTTCAAGCGGATATAAACCAAGTCTTCTAAAGGGCATCAGACAAGAATATGACGCTTAATGAGAACTAGTTTTAGTTGCTCCACTGTGGAAGAATTAGAGAAAATAAACACTAGAACGGAGTACACGACAAACAAATCATTCAACAGAGCTTAAGTCTCATGTGTAAGACCTGATACTGATGTCAGATCTCATATTCAAGGATCACAAAACATCTACAGCTACTGCAAAGAAAATGACAGGCTGGATAATTAAAACGTTCAAAACAGATGCCGAGTCAATAATGTTACTTTTCAAGTCGCCTGTTCCCTCCAGGCTGAAGTACTGCTGTTTACTAACGGCCTCTTTCCAAGGAAATGAGATTGCAGAGCTAGTAAACAAGCAGAGAACTTTCATTACTTGTACAAATTCAATCCAACATCTAAGCTACTGAGAACACTTGAACTACACACCTTGGAATGTAGGCGAGAAAGGTACATCATAAGTTACACCTGGAAAATCCTGGAGGAACTGGTCCCAAACCTGCACACCGAGATTACTCCGTATGAAAGCAGGAGGCTTGGCAGACGATGCAAGGCACGTCAACAAAAAGTCGGGGCACAACATGTACGCTAAGAGAAAACTCGATAAGTTTAAGACTTCCCCGACTTTTCAACGTCCTCCTTGAAATTCATAAAGGGAATTACCAACAAATCTTTGGCTGTCTTCAAGAGGACTCTTGATAAGTTCCTCAAGTCAGCCCCTAAGAAGCCGGACTGTGGTTCGACTTTGAAGCCTTCAGCATCTATTTCAGCAATGTATCTGTATCTGTTGGTAGCAGGTTGAATAGTCACAGTGTTCTCTTATTGTGTCTCCGGTGCCCCTGCTTTTCATTGGGTTTATTTTACATTTTCTTCCATACATCTCACTTCCGAGGACCCCGACTCTTCAATGCTCTCCCTCCATGCGTAAGAGGAAATTACCAACAAAACTCGGGCTGTATGCAAGAAGAAACTTGAAAAGTTCCTAAAGTCATTTCCTAATCAGCTGTACGCTGGATTGCGTGTGGCCAGTAGTAACAGCTTGGATAATCAAGCCTTAAGCCACGAGGCAGCCTGGTCTGGGACAAGGTCACGGGAGTGTTGACCCCCTCGACACATCCTTAACTTATCCAGTAAACTTGTTACTGTAGTGCGTAGATTTGTGACCAATATCTTCCAGGTGTATATAATTAGATATCTTCTTTGCCCGAGAGTATACGTTCCAAGTACTTGAGGTGTTCCCAGCAATTTTAAGGAGTCATCGACTAAGCGGCAGTAAAAGACCTCTTACATTTTCCAGCTCTAATCTCTCCTATCTTGAACGGAGCTGTAAGCACAGAATAATATTCTAGATGTGAGACAAGTGGCATTATTTCTAATAATTTGAGAGCTCTAATTGTCCACTGTCAGTTTTCTGCCCTTCCCTGCAATCCCTTTGTGTTCTGTATACGACGCACATCACCTGACATTATTCCCAAGTCTTGCCTATTTTTCATATTTTCTGAGATAACTACCTGTGTTCCGTACTCTGTATTCGTTTTGAGTTCATTCTCCTCGTATCTAAGCAGCAACTGATTTTGTTTTTCAATACTGGTCATGCTATTTTCATTTGTCCACTGAAAGACTTTTTATCTATAATTTTTCAGTATCATCTACTAAGGCGACTTTTACACTTAATTCAGCACGTCCGCAAACTATGATACGAAACTGACTTGTGTCAGGATACTTGGGAGACATTCGGGTCTGATACAAGAAGGGAAGGACAAGTCCATTTCCTTAGATAAAGAGCTCAGTCAACGCCACAGCTCCTTCATGGAGTGTCCCTGGTGCTTCTGATTAGAAACAGTACAAGGTGCTCGGACCATACTCTAGGGTACTCAACACTTTTGCTTGGTTCATATTTGACTGTTGTGTTTACTACCACTGTTCTTTTAGAAACTTGATCATCATCTTCCTTATTTTTTCTGTCATATTCATTCACCTCACTTTGTGGGCCATCACTCACTGGTCACATCTGTCAAGTGACCTTGTAAAATCTGTGTAAACCACAACTGCGTTTGGGTTTTCCTCCAAAGTCCGTGAATGTATCAATGATTTACGAGTTGTGACCAGCATGATGTTCCTCCTGTAAATCCATGTTGACTTGGGTTGTGTAGGTAACAAGCTTCTCCATAGAAACAGCAAGTCAGCCTCATTAATTTGTCTCGGAACCCTTTCGAAAATTTGTATGTGATGCTAGGGCTACTGGTCTTAAGTTTTTATTACTCTCGTGCCCTTTTGTCAAGAGGGTCCGTGTCTGCACCTTTTCAAGGCATCTGGTATTTCACCTGAACCTACGCTTCTCCAAACACTGAGTACTCTTGCTAATGGTACTTAGCGTTACTTTATAAAACTGAGCTTTATTCAACGAGTGTTTCACCACTTGACTTCTCAAACCACCCACAGATCTATGAATCTGTTCGAATTCGTAGAAATTTATCAGGTTCATTGTTTACTTACAACGGGAATAAAGTGATTCAGCAAGTGCATCACTGAAAAGAAAGAAAAAGAGAGAAAAAAAAAGAAAGAGAAAGAGAGAGAGAGAGAGAGATAGAGAGATAGAGAGAGAGAGAGAGAGAGAGAGAGAGAGAGAGAGAGAGAGAGAGAGAGAGAGAGAGAGAGAGAGAGAGAGCGAGAGAGAGAGAGAGAGCAACAACTAAGTTTTCCTCCACAGTACCATTTCCTGTAACAAGATGATACGTAGTACTGTTAAATTCACCACGACTTACTGAGAATCACAGGTAATCACTGTAAAACGTGTGGCTCTCTAGCGACACACTGCAATAGTATCTCACAATCCCGAAAAACTGCTATCATCAGAGTAGCGACACTGCAATACAAGGATAACCTAACTGCCATCACTACACACCTACACAATGACATCCTCGTGGTCAAGTGGATATAGGAATGCGTACTTTGTCCTGTTCTCACAGGACAGCATTGTGACACAGGATCGAATCCTGGCTATCCGCAGTTCTGTTAATGATTCAAAATCACGGTTCTCCCCGGAAATGTTTGAATATTTTTTACCACCCCCTATATTTTTATGCTACATGCTAACTTTATTAATAGACAGAATACATTGATAGACAACACAAACATGAATACATTGGTACAATATATCAAAGGTTATGAATCTCCTCCAGCTCCTCCGAAGCCGGACGCAAGCCCAGTATGCAGCATGCATTTTCCCTCTGGATGGCCATGCTGAGGTGCTGGAACATGAAAGTGGCTG